GAGGTTGCGGCCTGAATGTTCTCCCACTATTTACTGATCTGAACTACCTCTCAAAAGGTGGTCCTCTATAGAATGATGTACCTCACCCTCTACCAGGCTGAGTGTTTGGGAAGAAAGTAGGGCGATGGGGATGCTGCCATAGCCCTGGTTTCTCCGTGTTCCCACTCACTTCTCTTTTACATCTTGCACACAGGACGTCTTCGTCCTTTTTTGGCTCCTTTCCCTTGATTCGTTCAAAGACACTGGGATGTGGTCCAGGGTCCTCTTCTCCATCATCTATGACCAACTTGAATTTTGGCAACTTGTTTTTGAAACCAGACGTCACCATGTTCACTCCAAGTGGCTGTGGAAAAGGATTTTCATCCACTGTCATCTTCTTCTTATCATTGAACGTAATTCATCCTGATTCAATGGCATCCTGCAATACATGGCAAAAAATCAAGCAATTGTTAGTCAAATGTGACCATGCATTATGCCACTTACAATATTTTTTACCCTTAATTTGTTCAGGGTTTGGCAATTTATGCTTATCGTTCAGCTTTATCTACTTATCCTTATATAATTTATCAAATATAAGGTCAGCTTTGGTTACATCGAACGAGAACGTTCTAGCCTTTATGTTTCCATCTTTCATGGGCTCATCCTTGCCCGATGGTCCAGGCTTAGCCATTATAGGACAAGTATACGTGTCTCCTTTGACCAATTCGGCCAAACACATTTCGGCTTGATCGTATGACTCGCCGCTGATGGTATGAACGTCAAAATTTGGGTCTTTGTAATAAGTCCCTTTACTAGAATTTTTCATCTGCTCTTCTTCTCTTATCAGTCGTTCATACCTAATCACATTCGCACTCAACTGGAAAAGGTCAGGAAATTCCTTGTCTTGGAATTTCTTTTTTTAATCAAAGCTCAAACAACCTTGAGCGATTTTGACAAATTCTTTTTCGGGCAGAGGTACAAAACACTTGCTTCTTGCTATCTTGAACCTTTGGAGAAAACTTTCTACCCATTCGTTTGGCATTTGATGTATATTCGCCAAATCAGTCAAAGTAACTTCAGACTCAGTTTTATAAAACTGAGCGTGAAATAATTGTTCCAATTGTTGCCATGTTTGAATAGAGTTCGCTGGCAAGTTGATGAACCAGGAAAAAGCTACTCCTGTTAATGAACTAGGGAAAAGCCTCATTTCATGGTAATCAGTTACATCACCACTTTGCAATGTGAATCGCCCTATATGTTCTAGAGTAGACACCTCCCCTAAACTGGTAAACAGTGAGAATTCTGGCACTTTATACCCTCTAGGCCATAGATATGCTTGGTCTACCCAATCAGGATATGGCTTTGTGTAAGTCGGCCTAATGACAGGACGTACCCCAAAAGCCATCTGATCCTGTACGATTTCCATAATCTGATTCCTTAACATGACGTTAGGGTCATATGGAATTCCTACAGGTTGGTTAACCGGTTGATTTGCATGAGACCTGATGTTTGGTCCTTGATTGGCAACAAAGTTACCATGATTTGGGCCATTACCATTAGCCTGAACATCTATTCCCTCATTAACACGTGGGGTATTCTGTCCATTATTTAGGATATTATCTCTTACATTTGGATTACCCCCCAAGTTAAGGCGTACCACTACCATTGTTCTGATTTGGCACTGCACCACCCCTTTGGTTTGAAGTAGACGAACCAGAAAGTGGTTTTATCCCTTGATTCGGATTTAGGACTGAGGGATTATGTCCCACAATTGTCCTAATTTGAAAGTGGTTTGCAAGAGGCAGAACCGGTTGACATATTTGGCCTACTCACTTATTCATTATTTCGTTCAAAGTGTTTAGTTGTTTGGCCATGTTGTCATAATGTGCATTCCCATTTTGGGTAAATCTTTCCATATTATGAATATTCCGAAGATTTACCTGTTCAACGACATCTTGTGTGAGTTCTCCAAGTAGTGCACGCATAGTTCAAGGACTCAACTCTGTCATTGGTTCGTAACAACTGTTACTGCTCTGATTCTGTCCATCTGTTCGTGGAGAGGCATGCTGCTCCTCATATCGCTCGATCACTGACTGGACTCCTCCCTGACTTGCTGCTTCCTTATCGGATCTCTGAGGCATATTCTTTGACCTTTTGTATTTTCAATACCAAACACCACTGTCCCACCGGGCGTGCCAAATTGTTTCGCGTGGGTTAGCCGCTCACAATTAAAAAGGGATCAGACGATTGTGTAAGGGACAAACCTCTTAAGACAAAGTCCCAAAAAGGGACGTTTTTTATTGGCGATGATTTTACAATTGGAAAATAAAAACAGAATGCCTCCAAGGGGTGCAAGTACACGAGTTACTGTAAAAGAAGTGTTTAAATCTAAACTAAAAAATTGAAAGTTACATATTTTCTATTTGAGAGTGTTTGATTCGGGGGCCTTTGCTCTATTTCTTTTCTTCCTTTTATACTCCCTAGATGATCTCTTTGTGATCAACCGCCTAAAAACAGTTTGATCGTTCTATAACTGCCCACTTTCCTCGTAATGGCCAACTTGTCATGGAACTGCCTTTTCTAATTGCTGCCATTACTCTTTGTCGTTCAACCGTCTTCAATCGAATTCCTTGAATCGTGGAACGTGATAGGACTGCTTAATAACTGCTTTGATGACTGCGCTTTTTGATAACCATAACACTTCATGTTTGCTAAGACCTTGGACGACTCGAAGGTTTGGGCGAGAATAGAATAGCAGCTCTGGGCGACTGTATGGCACTCCATTCGCTCAGATCTTGGGTGACTTGCAAGTTTGGGCGATGGTGTTACCGCGTTCATGGGCCTCCCTATTTGGGCCTTCATCCTGAATTGTCTAATTGGGTTTCGTTCTTTGGACTATCTGATTTGGGGATCCTCCAATTGGGCTTCATTCCTTGGGCCTCATTCCTTGGGCTGTTCGATTTGGGCTGAATTTTTTATGTGTCAACACAATGGCTTCTGAAAAATTTGTTCAACAAAAGATTCCACAATTTGATGGTCATTATGATAATTGGAGAACACTCATGAAGAATTTCTCGAGGTCGAAGGAGAATTGATAGGTTGTTGAGTTTGGGATAGTAGAATTGGTGGATGATGTCGTGCTAACTGATGGGTAGAAAGTTGAACTGGAAAGGACGGAACTTGAAAAATCTTAAAGCAAAGCATTACTTTTTTCAATCCAACGAGCATTCAATCTTGAAAATAATTCTTTGCAAAGACACCTCATACCTACATATTTGGAATTTTATGAAGAAGAAATATCGAAGGATGGTGAAGGTAAAAAGCAGGGGCGGATCTAAGGACGAGCCAGGCTCTGCTAGTGTCCGTCCCTCCAACCCAAATGCTAATTAAATAGAAATATTTAAGTAAATAATAATAATAATAATAATAATGATAATAATAATAATAATAATAATATGTGTGATTTTTTATTTATTATTATTATTTATTTATTTTTGGCGTTTCAGTCCGTGTCGAATAATTTCCTGAATTCGCCATTGGTAAAAAGCATGTAAATTTAAGCATTTTGCAGTGAGTTTAAAACTCATCACATGAAGGTAGGAGAACATTAGAATTTTTCTCAAGAACATTAATGGTGACTGTAATTAAATTGTGAATACATGGGTAGAGAATGAAGGACATTACTATAGTGGAGACAATTCTTTGGGTTCGTGGTGCCTCAATTTATTACTATGTCTTATAAAGTATATAAGCATTAGTATGGTTGTGATCATGATTTAAATTCTAATGTGAAGTTAATTGTTTTTAAGGTAATGAAATTTTAGAAGGTTTTCTTTAATATGCCCATTGCGTGCACGGGCACCTACTATCCCATGGTTCTTGTTGTTCTAACTCATTTCTAATATCGCCAAAAAATAATAATAAAAATAAAATAAAATTGGTAAGATGGTGATTGTTCATTTTGTTATGACATTATTGCTATCGTGGAGATGAAATATTGAGAGGACTTGTCCATGTTTTGGACATTCGTATTAACTTATATAATTATAAATTTATTATCAAAAATAGTTCTTCACATTACACATTGTGGTATAGAACGCCAGTGTATAATTTATATTCACAATATGCTGCCCCTTTTACAACTTCGTGATTCCCTAACGATGATGTATGAGCTTAAACACCACGGCTGCAGGAAGTTCATTATCATTCCATTTTTCTTCTAGAACTAATGCTAGTACAAAATGAAATCCGACACATAGTTAGTTATTATTATTAGAGATAAATAATTTTGATTACCTCCGATGGCAACAAACAAAATAAAAATAATATTCAATATTATCTTTGATGGTACATGATTTAATAATGGCTCCAATGTCAATTGTAGTATTTGAGGTTGCATTTACTGCAGGTAAGAAGGTTGTGCCTAGTGAAAGAAGCACGTCGGAAGAAAATATATTTGAGTTGTATAACTTCATAATTCTTTTGACAAAACATAATATTTTAGGTTTGTTATTTCGTTACAAATTTACATCTTCATATACTATGGAGAGTGAAAGTGAAATTTTAAATTCAAATTTAAAACAACAATTTAAGAGTTGACTAGACTTGTCCTATCAAAAGGAGCTCTCGTGGGGCAAGACGAGCCCACTATTGATGAAGCTAGACAGATCGCACTCAGCTTGCCTCACACGTGAGTATACTCACATAGTGGGCCAAACTAAGTAACTCGACTCGACTCGACTCGACTCATTAACATCCTTCCTCCCCAATCCCAATTGTTTCTCTCTCATCTCTAGCACTAGCTAATTCCTGAAAAAAAAAAAATGGGGAGAAGGAAAAATCCCATGTTGAAAACCCTGTCTCCACCACGCATCTGCACAGCTTGAAGAGCATCAAAATCCTAATTTTCATATTGTCAAAAAATAATTTAGGGATCGCATCGTGTAGTTATCAAACTTTGATAGACATCCTATCGACTTATGAGGTTACACACTTAAAATGAGTTTGCACAATTATACAACTTCCAGCAAGGGACTACATTCGCATTAGACGTGTTGTTAGTTACATGTAGCCAAACATATGTTAGACTGAGGATTTATATTTGATTTTTGTAGTTCTTTAATATCATAAAGGCAAAACTAAAATGCTAAAATGCATGTAATGGGAAAGTTCAAGATAATTTAACCAACTTTATTCGATGTAGCTCAGAAACTCAGCAGTGAGATTCAAAATATCTATTCAATCAATGGCTGAAACCACCATCCCCAACAACTTGATCTTTTCCATGCCCAAACCAGTCAGCCATTTCGTCGTCGTCGTCATCATCAGACCCAAAAAACTCATTCTTTACCTGAATCGAATTAAATTCACCAGCATTTTCCCTTGCACAGGAAGCAATTCTGCTTTTGCCGGCCACTTCCATTTTCCACATCTCTTGCTTTTGCACATTACGGGACAAATCACTCTTACCACCAACGACTGGAAAGTCAATGTATTCAGGCACCTGATTCCACGAGTGTGAGCCAGCGTGATCTTTACTGTCACTTTCTACAAATTTCCATGAACTAACACCTTCATCCCTATTTTGTTTCTCTTGCCCAAACCAATTCTGCATCTGATGATTGTTTACAGCATTACCTACAGGTTGAGAGGAATTGCCAGCAGCATGTGATGCTATCGGTCTTTTGTGATCGCATTTCAGACATACCATGTTTCTTCTGAAATTGATGTAATTGCACCTACAAAATGAACCTAACTGTAAAAAAAGAGCACCATAAAGCATTCAGGATAATATTCATCAGATTAATATAGGAAGTTCTTAGCATGATCTTGAAATCACTAAAATGTATAGGCATATGGTCTCACGATTCACATTCCCACTCCCCAGGATTAAGTTGCCTCTTTGGAGGCTTCTCTTTACACTGCAAACACCTTGTATTTCTAGCAAAATTCAAAAATTTGCATCTGCAAAAGATAAATCTCATAAGAAATAAAACAAATACTAGGGAAGCTACCCTATCTGAAATGAGTAATAGACCAGGAACAAACTTAATTCAATAAATTATTACTTATCACATATCCAGTCTCCCTTCTTAGGTGGAAGATTATCCTGCTCTTCTGATAATTTTCTTAGTCTTTCTTGAAATAAGCCATTACAACGTAAGCACTTGAAATTCCGAGCAAAATTTAGGAACTGGCACCTAGAAAATAATTGAAATTTTAATCGTCGTCACACCACAGCAGAAAAAAAGATAATGTGAACTTCAGAGCATTTACTTGGGGCAAATCCAGTCGCCTTGCTTCATTGGAACCTGGTTATGGCTCCTTTCTTGTTCAACATCATTTCCTTCTATAGATGACTCCCATTTAGAGGTAGTCACTCTCGGAGGTTCAGCATCACATTCCTCAGTCCTCGAGTCCATAATTTCTTTCAACAATTTTCTTACTGCTTCCTTCACCCTTTTGTTCAAACATGGCTTGTTCTCCACAGAGCAATATACAGGATCAAGCCCATATGCCAACACAAAGCGCATGACATCCACAGTCCTACCACCTTCATCCTCACGTGCCTTGACATATGCCCTTTCGCAATCTCCCCTTAATATACAGGAACTGCAAGCCTACTAAAACAAATGCAAAGCATCTTAAACCAGAGTGATATTCAAGCACAAAGAGAGACCAATGTTGAAAATAGAACATACATTTCCTTCATCAATTCCCACATGAGCTCTTAGACGTTTTCCAGAGTTAACAACTTTCCTATCTGTGCTCGGACATCCAGATCCTGCAACCACCAGAATATCTTCCCTAGACAAATATCTAGCAAAACCAGCAATATTAAGCACTGTAAGTAGCAAACTTCGATAACCAATGAAAGCTCATTAATTAAACAAGTTATTTAAACTAATAAGCTAGCACGAAATGGTTTAGAATTATAGACATTAAAAAATAAATAATTAATTAGAGCATTTTAAGTCTATTAATATTAAGGTCTACTCATTTTGCATTAAAAAGCCCATCCTACTTTTGAACTCATTAAATTAAATTCAAAATAGATAAATAGTGGGTGGTTATAAATTTTTCTATTGATAGGACTAAGGTCCATGAAAAATCACAAGTGCACAAGAAAATCAGAAGTCTAGGAAAAGGAAATGCATGAGAAAATCCGAAGTCCGGAAGAAGACAAGAAAATTTCTTTACTCCAAAACCAGGAAATTCCAAGATCAAAGTCTTCTTCAAATTCCAGCAAGGACAAGCCAAATCCACAGGACTAAAATCAAAGCAAATTAAAATTCAAGCCCTAAGGTTCAAATACAAATCCCAAAGTTCAAGTCAAGTTCAACTCTCAATCAAGTCAATTTCTCAGCAAATCAAATCTCCAACAAACCTAGAAGTCAAGGATTCTAGTCATGTGATCCCTCGTCCTCAAACACTCAGATCTCAAATCTGAACACAGACACAAGAATATCAACCTACGCTGTATTCCATAGAAAATCAATTTGTAACCATTTTTGTATATTTTATACACGAAATTTGTCGTACAAGCATAAGAAAGTTTATTTATCGCTTTGAGAACATATATTGGCATATGTTTGCAATTCACCCAAGAAAATTGTGGTAAAACCTGCATAATCCCTACTCCCTAGTCATCTTTTCTGGGAGTAAATTAATATTCAACGTCAGTTGCAATACCTGCATCTTTCACAAAAACTACCCTTTTGCGAAAAAATATTTCACACAGTCCTTGTGACAAGCAGTTCATATGCACTGATATAGCACGGACAGAAAAAAACACCTTCCGCCTCCGAACAAGTTCCTTGTGACAAGCAGTTCATATGCACTGATATAGCACGGACAGAAAAAAACACCATCCGCCTCCGAACAAGTCATACGAGAAATAGTTACACAATGCAGCATATAAGAACGGCCGATAATACAAAATCAACGTTATAAGCACAGTACCTTATAAGATGATAGTTATCCCGGGCAAAATTCAAACAAGCCGTCCTTATTACATTTGCCTCCTTGGGACCCATTTCATTTTTACTCCCAAAAGGATTTCCAATTCCCTCAAAATATCCATTCTTCGATAACTTTTCCATAAAGTCTACCCATTCAGGCCATGGATGTGAAATCTGAATCTTAGAAGTGTCGCCAAAATTTTTAAGTGGCAATATTTTTTCCCCATTTTTTGCAGATAAATTGGTCTGGAATCTTGAGCTTGGCGGTTTAAAATTTCCACATTCTTGAGCTTCATCTAGGATGAATTGAATTGCAGGGTTAGAGAGTGAAGATTTCTTTGACGGGGGACTGTGCAAAAGCGAAATACGTGGATGAAAATTGGGATTTCGAAGATTAGATTTCAGGGTTTTGAGGTAAAATTTTGATTTCAACATTATTTTAACACATAATTATTCAATTGAATTGGAAATTTGATAGAAAATAGACCTAGAATATGTTATGGAGAGAAGACTGACACAGAGATCAGTTGGGGCAACATTAGAAGAGAAACAACCGAATTTTCAATAAAAAGAGGGAATGGGGATGGACAGCAATACGGAGTCGTTTCAACTGTAAGTTTTATTGACTTTTGGGAAATTTACAAAATACACCTCCTGGTGTATTTATATTTTACTATGTAACAGGCAAGAAAGAATGGAAATGATGATGAAGGATGTGAACAGAAGGTGACTGGGAAGCATAAAGTGGAAGCTTAGACGCTTCTAATTGCAAATATTGTTTCATTGATGAAGAGGTTAGTTGGGAAATCTACTACTCAATTAGTCAACATGGGTGTGAAACTTGTTGGGAGAAATCATCAGTCATTCGAATATCTCTTATCAACCTTGATCAGTCATGGATTGAGCATGATGTCTATGCTTAGAACTTCAAACGTCAATAAATGTATTCTCTTACGTATAATTCAAGTTGAAGGAATCATGCTAACTTCTCCTACAACAGTATCTATAATGTGCAGAACTCTTCGACTATAGGAAGGCTATGGAAGAAGAATCCGTTGTGAATGAGAAAATCTAAGTATCAGGAGAAGGATGACATTGTCATCTAGAACCAAATAGGTTTAGATGGTCAAGCTACTATCAAAATGAACGCAAGGTGCAGTTTCCATTGACACTAAAACGATTGGGCAAGAACAAGTAAAAGCCATATTCACTAGAAGCTAGAAGAGGGCTTGAATTGCTAGAAATTATTGTGAAGAGTATCAATATTTTTCATGGAGGTAGACTTTTGGATATGAATCGTCTGTTGGAAAAAAATG